TGACCTCCTGGGTTCATAGGATGATGCTCAACCACTGAGGCACACCGGCCGGGCTATACAGGCATTTTTTTATCAGACTATAAAAGCAATGCGTGATCACGATAGAAAAACCTCAGTAAATATGGAGTAAAAAAATCACACGTCATTTCGCCACATATATTCAGTTAACATTTTACCGTAGAACATTTTGCTTCATAAAGTTAGATTGTTGGTTTTCATTCAAAGAAAAGGGAAACCTTTAAAGTCAGTCATATCAGTCCTCCCAGGGCCACCCGTTATGATTGTGGTTATCACTGATACTGCAGAGCCAGGGCCGCCCTCCATGTACAATGAAGCTTTGAAAGGACTCCTGGGTTGTACTTCTGCTCAGTCACCAACCTGCCCTGTGACCTTAGGAAGTTCCCTCCCCAATCGGGCCTCAGCTTCTTGCCTGTGAAATGGGAGGATTAGAGTAGACATGGGAGCGCCCCCTGGCTGCATGTCCGAGTCAACTGAGAGCCTTTAAAATGATTGATGCCTGGGCCCTCCTCAGACCTACAGCTTCAAACTCTCCGAGGGTGGGTCCAGGGCATCCCGACGTGTTAAATGCCCCCCAGGGGATTCGAACCCGTAGCCAAGGTTAAGAACCAGCGTCCTTTCCTGGGGCTCTGAGTCAGTAGTCTCTAGGGAAGGGGGACCCCATCGGTGGTGCTGCTGCGTGGGGAACACACTTTGAGAAACAGGGCGTTCCCAGTTAACTCTGCCCCCGCTGTGACTTCCTGTGAGTCTGTGAGTCTCTGGTCGGTACCGACAGGACCGGATTCCTGGATGAGCGCTCATTGTCAGTAGAGAGGCCGTTTGGGGTTGGGTGGTCCACGCTCACCCAGAATCGGTTGAGATGTCGAGACTAATGACACCCCGAGCACCAAGAAGGAATCAAAAGGTTTACTCTCGTGCTGGGATTTTTCTGGGGAGACAGGGCAGGCACACGCCAGTCCCCGGGGCTCGAACAAAACCAGAGCGAGCGTGTTGGGCCTTTCTGGGGGCTGGGGCTGGAGGTTTGCAAGGCTTGACCTTCACACCCACTCAAGGGCGGGAGCAGGCCAGCTCTTTCATGGCCTTTCCCAGATGCGGGGTGGGCGAGCCGAGGCCGTCCATGGCCAAACCTCAAAGAAGAGAGCCCGCCTCTTTACGGCAGAGGTTTCACTTTTTGGAAAACTATTTGCACGTGATTGCAAAATGCACGCGGCATGAGAAATGGGTGCTGCACTTCGACCCTGCCCAGTGCTGGGTACTGTTCCCAGTCCTTTGTGCTCAATATCTCAAGGAAACCGAACAGCGGCCCTGCGAGGAATGGGCTACTCTCAGCACCCCCACCCCCCACCCCCCGCCCCCGTTTTCAGATGTGGAAGCCGCACACAGAGGCGATGTGAGACAGGGACGGTCACACAGCCAGCGAGTGGGAAGGTGAGGACCTGAACTCAGGTCCCGTCCAGAGGTTAGACTCTTGGCCACTATGCTGTGCTCTCTCTTTGCAGGAACACCATGCAAACGAGATCTTTTTTTTTCTTTCTTTTTTTTTTTTAATATATTGATTTTTTACAGAGAGGAAGGGAGAGGGATAGAGAGTTAGAAACATCGATGAGAGAGAAACATCGATCAGCTGCCTCCTGCACGCCCCCCACCAGGGATGTGCCCACAACCAAGGTACATGCCCTCGACCGGAATCGAACCTGGGACCCCTCAGTCCGCAGGCCGACACTCTATCCACTGAGCCAAACAGGTTAGGGCCAAACTAGATCTTTTGTTCGTCTACACATATATTTCCTCTTCTGTCGGTAACTCACATGGTCATGAACAAAGGGCGATGCATCTCCAGATCACCCAGAACCTTGTAAAATGCAGGTCCTGCTGCAATGGGTCTGAGTGGCGCCTAACGATTTTCCAGATGCTGATGCAGTCGGTCTCCCTCTGAGAGGCCGCTGCCCTGCAGGAAGTCACTTTCCGCAGCCTGGCGTTCAAGGACAGGCGGCGCTTATGAGCTTCCAGGCGGTGGGCTGATGGGCCACAGTCTCAGGCACCTTGGAATGCGCGGACTTTACACCTTCGTTCCTGAGCGCCTCCTGGTGGGGGCCGTGGGCGCACCCTGAGAGCGGTCTTGGAGCGCCCCCTGGTGGGAATATAGGGCGATGCAACTCGCGTAAGTAGACCCACCTAGAAGTAGGGGGGCGGAGCGTCCAATGTGATGGGGCGGAGCCTGAGCTGAGGGAGTGGGGGGTCCTTGCGAGCCCCAGGCTTTACGGAACCCGATGGAGGGGAAGGGGTGTCGTTTCTGTTCCAGGAGCCCTGACTTCTCCCTCGGGGCCATTCTAGGACCTGGTCACATCCTCGAGATCTCGGGGCGCCCCGTCTCCGCTTGAGCCGGCAGAGGTGCCCTGACAGGTTCATCCTCGACACACCCCTACTTCTCTGCACGCCCCAAGCCCTATCCGGACCCCAGAGACTCTGGACATTCATTTCAAGCCTGGCTCACATCTAAACACCAGTCACGAGGATCTAATTACACAGCCACCCCATGCAGGCTGGGGACCTGTTCTGCAAAACTGTCTCCCCCCTAAGCCCAGCACCGGCCCTGGCCCTGCGGGGGTCAGTGACGACAAGTGAACCCCCCTCCCCCGCCAGCACCACCCCCCTGGCTCAGGGCTTTGGCACAGCTGCTCCTGCCCCTGCGTGCGCTCCCCTCGGGTATCCGCTGCCTCGCCGCTCCCTCCTCCGGGCTTTGGCTCACCCGTCACCGCCTCAGCGAGGCTTCCCCGCAGCCTCAAACCGGCGGTGCCTGCACCCCCTCCTGCCCCGCCTCCTCCGCCCGCCCGCCGGGTCCCCCCTCCCCCCCGCAGTCACCGCGTCTAATGCGGGCCCCGCGCTTCTCCCGCGGCATTAGCACCCGCCGCCGCCCCACCCTCCTCTCCTCCCCCCGCGTCTGCATTCGTGCGGCTTCCCGCAGCCCCATTCCCAGCGCCGGGCCGGGATCCACGTCCTTTCAGCCTCGCAGGCGCCCTCGGTCTCCTCCGGGGACCCGACGTCTCCCACCAGAGGCGACTCCCCCGACTCCGTCCACCTCCGGGGCCTCGGCACCTCCGGGCGCCCCGCGGGGACAAACCCGCCGCCAAGGGGCCTGGCGGGCTCCTCGCGCCGCCTTCCCGGCGGGGTCTCAGGCCGGGGCGCGGCTGCTCCGTGGACCTGAGACGCTGCTCGGCGCCCCGGGCCCCTCCCGCCGGCGGAGCGTCCCAGCACCGTCCTCGCCCGCGCGCCCGGGCCGCGTTCGCCAAGCCCGCGCGGCTCCTTCGTCCATTAGTCACGGACAACGGGAACCGCAGCCGCCGAGCGTGGGCACCGGGCTGGCGCTGGGCACGCGGCGGGGACAGGGCGGACCACACGCAAGGCCCGACTCCGCTGCCCCAACTCCTACCCCCTCATCCCCCCCCATCCCTACCCCCCAGCGGGTGGATCGGCCTCAGCCGCGTCCTGATCCTCCGCCAGCTGCGCTGCGGGCGCACCGGCACGGGTGGCAGTTGGAGGCGGGACTGGGGCGCCGTCTGGAGGCTGCTGGGCTGCCGGGGCAGCAGCAGCGCCGTGAGCCAGGGCCCCTGGGTCCCTCCTCGGGCCAACGGGCTCTGCTCTTGAACCTCCGTGCCCAGCGGCCTGGGCTCCCGCAGCAGCATCCCCTGGGCCCAGCGGCGCTCGCTGCGTTTCCAACCTTTGGGCACCCGCCCTCCCCCTTTCTGCACTTTGCCTGCAAAACGCCTGTCAATTCCCTCTCCTACCCCCTTGACAAATGCATTCAGTGGCTACTTAGAAAGAAACAAGTGTATTGGGTGGCCATCAGAGCTCTGAAAACAAGGTGGGGATGGGCGGGAAGGTGAGCTTTTTAACAGGGTGTCAGGGAGGCCCCCTGGGAAGGTGACCTGCAGATACCCTGGGAGGGCACTCCTGGGGCCCGTGGGTATGGAGGAAGCCTTTAGAGCAGTGGTTCTCAACCTTCCTAATGCTGCGACCCTTTAATACAGTTCCTCATGTTGTGGTGACCCCCAATGTCATTGTTACAAACTGAACAAAATTAAAGCATAGTGATTAATCACAAAAAAATGTAATTATATATGTGTTTTCCAATGGTCTTAGGCGACCCCTGTGAAAGGGTCATTCGACCCCCAAAGGGGTTGCGACCCACAGGTTGAGAACCGCTGCTTTAAAGGGTTTGGAAAGGGGAGTGACTCCATCAGACATCAGACCAGTCCTAACCGGACCCGCTGGCAGCCCTGTGGCTGTGTGCAGGTCTGGGGCAGGGACCCAGGTAGGAGGGCGGGCCTTTTGGTCTGGGGTCCAGGACAGAGCCTTGAAGATCAGCACGGGAGCTGGGAGCTGGGCAGAGGTTACAGGGTACGGAGCGCGCGGAGGACCCAGCTGAGCGCCAGGGTGAGCACCAAGGAGGGTGGCGTGGGAGGGACCCTGGGTGAGTGAGGGGAGGGCAGGGAGCTGGGCGGGGTGCGGGTGTGAACAGGCCGGGGTCCGGTCAGGTATACTGGGGTGGAGACTGACCTGAAAGCTAGTGAATGGGGCAGGGACACAGCAAGTTGTGGGGAGGGAGGAGGTCTCGGGGCCTGGATTAGGGGTGAGGGCTGGGGCCCCAGAACCTGTAGTTGGGTGGGGCCAGCCAAGGGGGTCTGGTGGCAGGGACCTAAAGATGATGGAGGCCTGGGACCTGGCAAGGCAAGACAGGGCAGGAGGAGCTGGGGGAGGGGGCAGAGCAGGTGGAAGCTGAGCCCTGGCAAAATTCAAGGGGGTGGGTCAGGGCAGGGGCTGCTGGGGGCACATCAGTGAGGCAGAAGGGACACTGGGTGTAAGTCAGTGACAGGGCGGTCCCAGGGTGTTCTGGCTGGACAGCAGCCATGACAGGCGGGGCCTCTGTTGCCCAACCTCATACGCTCCCCTCCCCCACTGCCCAGAGCACAGAGACCAGCCAGCACACTCAATTCACTTTACTGGGGTCCCAGGTGACAGTGCACAGGAGAGGGGCCTGAACCACAGGGAGGAGTCAGCAACACGGGGCCTCCCAGCCCAGGCACCTCCGGAAGTCGCTCAGCCCGGCTAGGCCCCGGAGCCCAGGGGACCCCAGGGAGGACAGGCCGCCTCTCCCGCTCCGTGCCCACCCTGACCCCATCCCAGGTGAGCTTGTCTGTCCCAGGGAGGTCCCCGCAGCCCAAGGGGCCACCTGCACGCTGCTCCGAGTCTGTGTCCCGAGTGGGGCTGGGACAGTCCGTTCGGGCTGTGAGGACACGCCCAGGCGCCATGCCGTCCTCCAGGTGGGCGGGGAGGACCCAGCTGGCATGATGGGCTGGGCACCTCCTGGGCACGGGAACTGGGTCACAGACACACACAGCCCAGGAGGAGGGCTTGGAGGGGCGCCAGTGGAGATCGCTGCTGAGGGAAACACCGAGATGGGCAGGGGGGCCGATGCACAGGTCACCCCGTGGACAGGACACGACAGCACTTGGGGCGGCAGGTGCTGACCTGCCAGCGCAGGCCGGGCTGCTGGAGGGGGGCAAATCGAGGGACATGTCCTCCCCTCTAAGCACAGGACCCTGGTCACCTCGCACACAGGCAGGACAGGCCCCTGCCCCTGGGTGTCCCTCAGGTTCCTCTCTGGCATTAAATTCACTCAGACGGTCACCTGAGCGCCCCTATCACCTTGGTCAGGGGCTGCAAAGCCACGTGCTGAGAGACTGGTCAGCCCAGGGGAGGGGACGGGCAACTGGTGGGAATACGGAGGGGAGGAGGGGGGCCACAGGCCTGGGGAGGGCGCTGCCTGGCACAGCAGAGAGAAGCCAGTAACCTGGATGGGAATTGCTGCCACTGAAGAGGTTGGCAAATAATTAGGGCTTTTGGAAATCACTGTGGGTCTGCGTGCAGCCTGTGGGCACCAGCAGGTGGCCTTGGCCTTATTGCTGATTCATCTGCATCAGCGGCTCCAGAGGTGGGCAGGGCTGGTGTCTCTCCTGATTCCACCTCCTCCTCCTCCTCCTCCCCTCCTCCTCCTCCTTCTCCTCCCCCCCCCCCCTCCTCCTCCTCTTCCTCCTCCCCAGCTTGGGGTAACAGGTGACCACTCCTCCCCTGGTCCCCTTCCAGGGAAGCCGCCATAGGCCTCTAATCCTCCCCTTCCAGGCAGGGAGCTCAGGTTCACCCTGACATCACTGGCGAGCTGGTGGCCAAGCCTCCATCACAGACCCAGGCCCCATCAGATTGGGGGGGGGGGGGTGCCACAGATGCTGGCCAGAAGCACGTGTCTGGAACCTTCAGGGCACCACGAAGAGCCAGAAAGAACTCACTGGCACCGCTGGCCTTCCCAGGTGCCCGCGTCCAGGGCCACACTCACCCCCATGCTAACAGGGGTCACCCAAAGCCACGCCCACCGGTGCCCTTGGAGACACGGTCCCATCACCTGGGGCTGCTGCCTGGGATGCCCGTTTTTTTCTCCTTCTTCCATCAGGATCACTCGCGCCACCTGCAAAGGAGGGACTGGGAGGTAAAGGTGAGACCGGGGGCAGGCGCCTGGCGCACAGCAGGGCTCAGGGCGCAGGGCGCAGGGCGCAGAGCGCGCGGCTAAGCGGGAGTCTGGGCTCTGCCCCCGGGAGGGCGGAGGCTGAGGAGACGCGGAGGGAGAGGCCTCCTGGCCGGCCGCGCCTCGCTGTCTCTGGGCGCCACTAGCGGCACTTGGGGGCCAGCCTCCCGCCCCGGCGAGCCTTCCTCCCGCGGGCCGGCTTGGAGCCGGTGGAAGGCTGCCCCCTGGCCTCGCCGGCCTTGGCGCGGGCGCCAGCACGTCCCGTCTTCTTCTTCTTGTCGCCCGCCGCCTCCTCCTTGGCTTTCTTCTCGGGAGTGTTGCCCCGATCGCCGCGGCCTCGGCCACCCCGTCGGGTTTTGCGGGATCCCGAGGGGGCGCCGGCCGGACACAGGACCTTGGAGGCCGTGCGGGCTCGCTTGGCCCGGGGCTTCCTGGAAGCCCGGTCCTCCGGCTCGGACGCCTCGCTCTCCGTGTCCTCAGACGTCTCCTCCGAGCCGCCCTCCGAAGTCCCCTCCGACTCCGACTCCTCCTCCGAGTCCCCGTCCTCACGCGCCGCCAGGAGCGCCAGGAGCTCCCCGAGGCCGCCCTTGTGGTATCTACACTTCCCACCCTCCCAGGCCCCTTCCTTCCCTTCCTTCATCCCCTCGGCCATGTCCCGGGCAGCCAGGAGCGCCACCAGCTCCAGGAGGCCCACCTCGCCTTCCTCCTCGTCGCCCCAGCCCCCGAGGAGGCGGCGCGGGGCCGGCTTCCCCCGGGGGAGGGGCCCCGGCTCGGCCAGGGTGGAGATGCATTCCAGGAGGTTCCCGTCGTCCTTGGCCTTCCTCAGGACCAGCGCGTCCACCTGGCGGCCGGCCTCCTGCACCTGCACGCGGGCCCCGCGCGCGTCCTTGGACATGACGGACAGGACCTCGGGGAGCGCGTCGCTCTGCTCCTTCCTGTCGCTCCAGCCCAGCGACTCGATCACGGAGGCGATCTTCAGCATCTCCTCCCGGGCAGAGGGGTCCACGGGATCTGTGTAGGCCACGATGGCCACGAACTCAGGGTGGCCCCCCTCCGGCCCGTGGTCCCCGCTGGCCTGCGACTCGCTTTCCCAAGCGTTGCTGCCCACGGGCTCCTCGTCCCACGTGTCTCTCACGGCCAGGAGGGCCACCAGGTCGGGGACGCCGCTCAGGTCTTCGATGTTCAGGCTGATGGACTCGGCCCCCGGGGTTTCCTTCTCCAGCTCCTCCTTCTTGGCCTTGTCTGTCACGGTCACCAGGGCCAGGAACTCCCGGGGGCCGCCTGCGCCCTCGGGGTCCCCCTGCAGGGCCCACTTCCGCACCAGCTCCCTGGCGGCCACCTGCAGCGTGGTGTACAGCGCTCTCTGGGCGTCCAGCCCGCCCAGGGCCTCCTCGTCCAGCTCCTCCACCACGAGGCCCAGGCTGTCGGAGGAGGAGTCCTCGGACCCGCGCCTGGCGCCGGGGAACGGCCGCCCGCCTCGGCCTCGCTTCCTGCCCCTCTGGGCCAGCCTGCGGCCTCTGGCTCTGCTTCGGCGACTCCGCCGGCCCTTCCTCGCCCTGCTGGCTGCGCCCGGAGGAGGGGGGCCAGCCTCCCGGGCCTCGGCCTCCGCGGCGGGAGCGGTGGGCGTGGCCCCGGGGACCCGTTCATCCCGCAGCAAGCGCTTCAGCTGCCGCAGGACCCTGGTGTCCTCCTCGCGGTCCCTGCACAGGACCCTCCAGGCGCCCTCCCCGCCGCGGATCTCGCTGGGGATGGCGGCGGGATCCATGTCCTCCAGGAACTCCACCAGGGCGGCCCGGGCCTTCCCGCCCCGCACGGCCCTCGTGCTCCGCAGCCTGAACGTGCCCAGGGGCCGGAAGGCGGGCTGCAGGACCGCCTCGATGGCCGCCGGCTCCAGGCCCTCGGGGATGCCGGTGACCAGCAGGGCCCGGTGCACGTCCACGTCCAGCCCCCTGCACCAGTCCTGCAAAAGGCTCCGGGCCATGGTGCCGCCCGAGAGCGCCGACCGCCCGGTGCAAATCCCTCCCGGAAAGCGCCGCGGGGCTCGGGGTGCAGGTTCGTGAACGTGGCGGGGCTGAGGGCTCGGGCTCGGGGATCCCGCAGCCACCGGCCGGCTGACGCAGCGGCCGGGCCCGAGGTCCCCTCCCCAGGCTGGCGGGCCACCTGCAGGGGGCTTACGTCTCCGGCCGGGGGCTGCCGCCGGCCCCTCCTCCGCCCTTCGTCCCCGGCCTGGGAGACGCGGCGCCGGGCGAGGCGCAGGGCGGGTGGCGCTGTGGCCCGGGAGCGGCGCGGGGAGGGCAGCCGCCGGGGCCCGGCTCCCGCCGCGTCTGGACGCGCACCCTCCGCTCCGAGCTCAGCAGTTCCGCTGCGTCTCGGCGGCTGTGTCCTGCGCCTGCGCACACGGGCTCGCCCCTCGGTGAGCTGGGCCTGGTCTCCATGGCAACGCGGCTGGCCCGAGCTGGGTTCTGGGGACCGGCTCTTAAAGGGCCGGACCAAAGGAGGAAAGGAGGATGGGGGCGCTGGCAGCACCACCTGCGGGGATGAGCCCCCAACAGGCCAGATCCACAGGGGGAGGATGTGGAGACCTAGACCAAGGGGCTCTGGCCATGGGGCCCGGACTCTCACGCTTGGGTGCAGAGTTGACGGGTGTCACCCCGTGGAAACGGGCTTCAGTAGGGCACACTGGCCACATCTGTGGGGTGCAGGCACCATTCGGGTGCACAGGCCTCGTGATGGGGTGCAGGCCTCATTCTACGAGAGCAGGCCTCGCTCTTGCCTGCGTTCCTGTACTCGAAAGGATGCCCGTGCAATCCGTCCTGGTTCTGTATGTGGTTTGGATAGGGGTGTGGTCACCAGCGAGGTCAGCCATGAATTCTGCAAGAAAGCATTTCCCTCACCTTTGCCTCCATCACCACCACCTCAGGCGGGCGCTGTCCTCCAGCAGTGGGGTTTCTCTCTCTCCTGCATTTCCGGCTGCAACTCTGGAAGGTTCCAGAGCGTCTCAGTGTCCTCTGTGAAATGGCCGTAACCGCTAACCCTACCCCATAGGGTTCTTATGGGGAGTAAGGGGTGGGGGTGATGTCTGAAGGCACTTGGAAGAGAGGGTGGCCCACAGCTGTGCTCCATCGAAGGGGGCCATGGGATGATTTATTGGGATCTTACCATTATATAAGCGTTTGTTAGATAGATAACCCAAACACTTCGAGCTTTTTTTTTTTTTAATGTCAGAAGAGTTTATTGCAAGGTTACCATGGCAACTGGGCCTACAGGCAAACCAAAGGCTTTCTCACTCTCCTACCAACCCCCCTGCAGCTCCTGTTTCCCTGCTTCTCTCTTCTCCGTTCACCCTCCTGATCCCCAAATGGCTGTTACCTTCTCTGTAGAGCCACGCCCAACAGAAGTAGAACACAGCCCAAGCACAAGCCACAGGCAGGATGTTACATTGGCTCTGGCCGCCTTCGGTCAATACACAGACACAGGTGAGATAAATTTTAAGAATAAATTTCATTTATCCCCAGATAGACAAAATAGCATTTGTGCTTTTCATCAATATAAAACAATTACTAATGAGATAGTGAACATTCTCTTTTGAATTTTTTATTTATTGATTTTAGAGAGAGAGAGGGAAGGAGAGAAAGGGAAGCATAGATTTATTGTTCCACCATTGATGCATTCATTGGTTCCTGTATGTGCCCAGACGGGGCCTGAAACCTTGGCGTATCAGGACACGATGCTCTAACCAACTGAGCTATCCTGCCAGGGCATAATAAGCATCCTCTTTAAAATATATATATATATATTATTGATTTCAGAGAGGAAGGGAAAGAGACAGAGAGAGAAGGAGAGAAACATCAATGATGAGAAAGAATCATTGATCAGCTGCCTCCTGGATGCCGCCCACTGGGGATTGAGCCCGCAACCTGGGCATGTGCCCCTGATCGAAAGGGAACCCAGGACCCTTCAGCCTACAGGCCAATGCTCTATCCACTGAGCCAAACCGGCCAGGGCATGAGCATCCTCTTTCATAACCAGTCCCTCTGGAGCAGCCACATTCGAGGGCTTGGCAGCCACTCACGGCCACTGGGAATTTATTAGGGGTGTGTGTGTGTGTGTGTGTGTGTGTGTGTGTGTGTGTGTACACGCATGTTCAGCTCTATTGTGTTCATCCCTGTGCTACTTATAACCCTGCAAGCCTGGGAAACAACAACAACAGCCAGAGCTGGCATTGTTCAGGTGTGGATGACCCCGGGCGAGGTGCTGTGAGAGTCATATACCATACAATTCACCATCGAAAGTGTGACTTTGGTATGTCCATAGAGTTGTGCAGCCATCAGCACACCCAATTTTAGAACATTTCCCTCTCCCCAAAGAAACCCCACCCCCTTAGCAACCACCCTCCGACTCTCCCCCAGCCTCTGCAGCCACTAATCTCCTTTCCGACTCTACGGATTTGCCTGTTCTGGAGATTTCATACAAATGGGGTCATACGATGCGTGCTTGGTTCTTGTCCGGCTGCTTTCACTCTGTATGTTTTCAAGGGTCATCTATGCCATGCATGTGTCAATGCTTCCTTCTTTTTTAAAAAGAGATTTTTTTATCAATTTCAGAGAGGAAGGGAGAGGGAGAGAGAGATAGAAACATCAATGATGAGAGAGAATCATCGATCGGCCACCTCCTGCATGCCCCACACTGGGGACCAAGCCCACAACCCGGGCACATGCCCTTGACTGGAGTTGAACCTGGGACCCTTCAGTCCGCAGGCCGATGCTCCATCCACTGAGTCAGACCAGCTAGGGCGGTATGTGGGAAGCCACCCATTGTCTTCACTATCAGAGAAGTGTAAACAAGGAGCCTGGAACGGAACGCTGGTGAACCTTGAGCCCTGGCAAGGGCCAGAGCTATGCACTGATTGTTTAGTTGAGACAACAGTAGCTCAAGCAATTTCCTGACCAAATAGTCTCAGAATTAATCTTTACTAATATTTACTGACCTCTAAGATTGTCTGTTACCAGAATTGCCTGCCTAAGGGCTATATGTGTATCCAAAATTGAATAAAAGGTTGGCAAGGCCTGGGCACCAGTGAAGTCCTTCCCCTTGCGTTGGGCTTTCCGCCTGGCCCCCAATATTTCCAAATTATTATTTCTTGTCTTGTCTCTGACATTTGCGTGCAGCCCTTCTCCAGATCCCGAACCCTAAGCCACGCAGGACGTGGCTCACACAGCAGTGCTTCCTTCATTTTTATGGCTGAACAGTATGTCATTGTGTTAATAGTATTTCATGGTGTGAATAGCATTTCATTGTGTGAACAGTATGTCATTGTGTGAATAGTATTTCATTGTGTGAACAGTATTTCATTGTGTGAACAGTATTTCATTGTGTGAACAGTATTTCATTGTGTTAATAGTATTTCATGGTGTGAATAGCATTTCATTGTGTGAACAGTATGTCATTGTGTGAATAGTATTTCATTGTGTGAACAGTATTTCATGGTGTGAACAGTATTTCATGGTGTGAACAGCATTTCATGGTGCGAACAGTATTTCATGGTGTGAACAGTATTTCATGGTGTGAACAGTATTTCATTGTGTGAACAGTATTTCATTGTGTTAATAGTATTTCATGGTGTGAATAGCATTGCATTGTGTGAACAGTATTTCATGGTGTGAACAGTATTTCATGGTATGAACAGTATTTCATGGTGTGAACAGTATTTCATTGTGTGAACAGTATTTCAATAGTATTTCATGCAAGCACCACATTTCCTTTATCCGCTCATCAGGAGGTGGGCACTTGGGTGGTTTCTGTATGTGGCTGTTGTGAGTGCTGCTATTGTCAACCTTCATGCCTCTGTGTGAACGTGTGTTTCATTTCTTGTGGGAAATTCCTGGAGTGGAATTGCTGGGTCACACGCTCACTCTGTAACCATTTGAGGAACCGAGAGGCGTCGTTACGGCAGTTGGTTTGAGCAGAGCCCTTTCTCCACTTCCCACAAAGGTGCTGCAATGCTGCCTGGCAGCCCTGTGTCTGACCAGCAGCCACTCACCAGGCAAGTCATGTGTCTCTTCTGCCTCAGTGTCCCCACTTTATTGTGAGATGCTGAGGACTCAGGAGGCGGTGTGTGTGGGTGTTGGAACAATGCCTTGCCCTGGTCTAAGGTTTTATGCTCATGGGACAGGACAGGGCGACACACTGGGCTGCAGATTGTGGTGGGGACACCCCAGGAGAGCAACTGGCACCTACAGTACAGAGGCAAGTCCCTCCCCTGAAGTTTGGCCTCTTGGGGGCTGTTGGCACCACGGGCACCAGGGGGCGCTCCAGGTGTGCCAGCGTGTGGGAGGCCGGGAATGGTCAGGGTCTGTGGGTTGTTGCACATCTTCCATGCCCCTGGGAACACCCCCGCCCCCCCCCCCAGCCCTTCACGTCTGTGAAAAAAACCCGTTTACAGTGATCTGAGCTCAGAACCTAACTCCGCTCTGCATGCAAACACAACGCTGCTTTTTATACGTGGCTCTTTGTTTTATTTTTTATTGATTTTTAGAGAGAGGAGAAGGGAAAGGGAGAGCCAGAAACATCTACATGAAAACAAAGCATCCACCAGCTGCTTCCGGCACGCCCCACACTGGGGAATCAGACTGGGAACATTTTAGCGCCCGGGCCGATGCCCAACCCACTGAGCCACACGGCCAGGGCTTATATGTGGATTTGATTGACACAGACTATGCCAGCTTTTATTCTAGGGCCCCGCCATGCCTCCGGTGTAACTCCATCCACTTCTCTTGCTTCTCTTAGGTCCACGTTTATTCAGGAAGAGCAGGTGTGACAATCTGTCCACCTTTTCTGGCTGCCCTGTCCCCAGAGGGAGCCCCCATTCGTTTCTCTCCTAGTGGGTGGGCATGGGGCAGAGTGGGTGCGGGCGTGGTCCCAGAAGCTGAGAAAAGAATTAGAGACTCAGAAACTTCTGGAAGAAGGAGGCATCCAGGAAGTTGAGGGTCCCCGTGGCATTGCAGAAGCGCCAGGGCAGGGGTCCGGGACCCCTAGGGATCCCCAAGGACAAGCCCACTTTCATCATGATGCCAAGATACTATTTGCCTCTTTCGCGCTCATGAGCGTTCAGTGGAATTTTCCAGAGGCTGCATGGCCAGCGATACCACAACGGACTGATACAGAGGCAGGCACGGGGGTCCAGCGCCTTCCCGTGCCGAGTCAGACATGAAGGAGATTTGCAAAAAAACATAAAGCAAGGCCACTCTTCTCAGTTTGTTTTGGTTTTGAAAATTATAGCAATTGAAATGTATGTGTTACTTGTGTGACATGCTTGTTGTTGCTATTTTTAAAGAGTTCATAAATAAGCACTTTTCAT